AGGTAGGAGGCGGTGATTGAAAAAAATAATGTGCGAAATAAATATTTGTGTTCAACAGACTAGAATTGAATGGGCATAAAAGGCGCCTAACATGGGAAGCTATGCCACGTTCTATTCACGAAGGTGTATCATCTGCAATTTTAAATTCAGACTGCCTTGTATTTGACACCTCTATCGCGCAATTATTTGCGGATAATGGAAATCTAGGAATTAATGTTACAATTTCTATGGCATGAGGAAAGCTGGAAAAAGCAGTGTGAAATCTTTTAAACGTATCGAGCAATCTTTGGATCATAATTCAGTCTTTGTATTGAGGATTGCCCGTTATGTACATATAGCATTTTTTTTACGTTACCACAGATAAATATTAGCAATATGGATGTTAGGAAATGTTTGGAATGTGTTGAAGCACAGTAATCAAACGCTCAGTTACAGGACCTCTCTTTAGAAGCTTTAAAGTGTACTTGTATGTGATATTAACACTACAACATAAAAATAATAAACAGCATTTCTACATATACTTATGCTGACTTTAAAGCTTTAGCACTGAGTAAAACATCTATTCCAAAATGTACCTGACACCTATTGCACACTGTTATCATGTTCTTTTAGTCACTACTTACTGAATCAATTTTTATAAAAACATTTTTTTTCTTTTTTTTAATTTTGATGCTTTCTAATGTAAGCTATATTCTTTATAGAAATAACGTTATATTTTATAAAAAGAAATATAGTTTTCGTGAAAAGATCTGTCATGATCCGTTAATATACAACATGGCATTATAAAGAAAAATTCAAAGCACATACCTGACGAAGTCCTCCATATGTAATTTTTTTACTGTGTATAATAACTGAATTGAGTGTACCAAACACACATTTGTCATTATTTATTTTCATTTAGAAAATTCATATGCTCGAATATTTATTATGACCTCCCAACTTTATTTTTAATTATAATTTAAAAATAAGCACACTTTTGAATAAATTTGCTTGTTTTAAAGTTTAAAGTCACATTAAATGTTATGCCACATTGTAACTAACTTCTTTGTACTTGATACTTCTTCGTTTGGAAAATGCTTAGTTTTACATCATATAAAAAATATATGGAAATCAAAGGTTTACAATAATAAGTTTGCAAAGGTGTTGATGAGTATGTAATTTTTATAATTTACTTTGAAATATTGACAAAAATATGGTTGCAAGATATTTTTAGACTAATAGAATCTATTGAATTACTATTCACTGACGAGCATTACGATAATCTACAACGCTATTCCGTCATCTTCAGTTTTATGAGGAAAATGAATTAAAGTACATGTATCAGCAATATATACGGGAACACGAAAGTAGTTGGTATACGATAAACTGGTGCAAAATAATAGAATAAAGTTGCGCAATCTCATCCTTTTCCACTAACACAAGAAATAGACGAATTTATTTAAGAAGTTACATTTTCAGAAATATGTAGATTCATTTAATTGTTGCATAGTCGTTTCGTAAATAATAAACGACGTTGTACATAACGTTTAAATTATCATTTGTGCAAAACATTTGTGTATCGTCTATTAAAATTTACGATGAAGAATATAATTTAATATAATTTGTAATTAAACACTGATTTCGAGGAACTGCGTAAAAAGGCGTAAAAAGTTGCATGCGTGTAAAGTGAAATTTCAATTGAGTAATGTCGATACATTCAATTAGAGTTAAAATTATGAGCTTGAATCCTAATCAAATTTGAGATTCTAAGATCAAAACAAAAAAATGGGAAAAGAATGATTCTTACGTCATCGCGAATCGTGTATAAAATATTTGGACATTCCAGGTGTAGATGAAGTTATTGTAAATAGAACAAACTTTACATGTGATAAAACTATTAATTGGTAATGTAAATTATCATGTGAACATGCATATATATGAAGTTCAAAGGAATATGGGAACCAATTGCATGTGTATAAAACTTACATGATTATACATACGTTTACATAAATGTACTGAAAGAAATATTTCATTTCAATAGACTTAAAGTTTAAGCAGTTTTGGCGGTTACTAAAAAAAATGAAAAAAAATCATACGGATTTAACTTTCATGTTAATTGTTATACTATCAAATGGTATAGGAATACTTCTCTCCCTAATATTTGCAATACATGGAATCGCAAATTTTGCACATTTAGACGTAACTAAAAACATCTGTTGGAGAGCTGCTATATTAAATGGCTTGAATATAGAAATAGGACAAAGCTGGTCGGACAAAATATTACTGAAAAACAAAATACACGAATAATTAAGTAAGATCTTATTGAATTGCAGTCAATAATCATCGTTCCGAGTATTTAAGTACGAATATCGCTAAGATGTATATACATACATATAATTTAATAAGATATAAATCTAAAATTAATCACAATGTAACGTTTAATTGTTTATTATAGTAATTTATTCTTACAGATCAATAATAACGGTATAAAAATATTTTTACCAATACAATAATTAAAACTACTTAATTCAATTCCTTACCGTATCAATTTTTAAAACATCGTAAAAATAAGTTTATATTTTTAAAAAACGCAATCTCTACCGAAACGATATCGTAGATACTGGTAAAATCTTTATAAGAATTTAATAAGTTTTATTACTATGTGAAATCAACTGTAATAATGGTATTGTGGTAAAAAATTGAATTATGTAAACGCTATAGACGTGTATGTTAAATAATGACTTATTATTTGGTTTTACATATAATATAAATTTTTCAGAATTACGATTTCCTTGATTTTTAATAATCTAATGCTAAGATTTTATGTATCTGCGTAATTTTAATTCAATAATTTATTATTGATTACGTGTAAGATCATGAATGAATACTTCGATATCAGTAGTACTAAATATGACACCATAAATCCTGTTCCTAAGCGTCGAATAAATTTGTTATTAAAATATAGCTTAGAAAACTTTGATCGATATAACATTTCCATGTTTGTATTATTTTCAAATTACATAATTTTTAATTCGTACTACATTCATGTATTGTTTCAAATGTCCTTGCAAACATTTACAATCAACATTTACTGTTTCTCTCTTACTTTTTTTCTTTTTTTCTCTTTTGTTTTACAATAGAAAATAATTTGCAGCGTTTGTCATGAAAATTAGTACAGTGCCATCTAGGGACAAGCAATGGGTATTATCCGAAGAAATCGTTGGAGTTCTGTGGATTCTTGTCTATATTCGACTTAGATCGTGCTTGCGGGAATTCTACTTGTTGCTGGGAAACATCTCGTGGTCAGCACTTTTCCGAAACTTTCTTAAAAGCTCTCAAAGTTTTAAGAAGACCTTGGTTCCTAGAGGAAGAAAATGGCAAACTACCACAAACCAGAATCTAAAACCATTCAAGAATTGAAAGATATCGCAGCAAAGCTGAGAATTCATTCAATTAATGCCACACAAGCCAGTAAATCCGGGTATGTGCAATAATATTATACTTTATAATAGCAATTGCATTAACCGACTGTTTTTTGAATGATTTTTTTATAAATCAACATATACCAATGTAGACAGTTTTTGATAGGACACTCTTTTAAATCGTAGTTTAACGAAACTTAAACATTTGCAAAATCGCGCGCAAAAATCATTTCGATGAAAGCGACATGGAAAAAGTATGTTTGCTTCGTTTCTCCGTTGCGATAATATAGTCACGATTGTTCTCACCAATAGCCAGTCATGTTATACAATACATTCATAATTTTTCCTAAAACAATTCCACTGTTGAGATTGCGATCTTGGAAATTTTTCACGTGGTACCACATTGATTTGATTTTATAAGGCTTATTTTTGCGAATCGTCGACACGTTTATTGCCGTATTATTTCTTACTATCTTATTACATCGCGTCATGCGGTTCAAGGTAATTTTACAAATGGAATTCATGTTCATGCATTTAATAGAATTCGTGCGTCATTGTTAACAACGTTAATTTGGTAATAAAAAACTTCTTTGTTAAATAATTATTTAAAGTTGCCGGGGATTCTTATTTTTATTTTTCGATGATTTAAAATATACACGAAACATTAATTATGTCTTGAAAAATTTCTAAATTTAGATAAATATAGTCTATTTAAAATATCTAATTTAAAATAGATTCTATAAAGAGTTTCACGTATGTAGGAAAAAATAAATCTCTAAATGCACATTGCATTAGTAGAGTTCAAAGTATGGCGTCGATTGCAGAATGTACATTGTACACTTATAATTAACAAGAACGATTTGATTGCGGGCTACAAATCGTCGTGCGATTAGCACCGGAAAAAAAAAACAGTTCAAAGTTTTTAGAAGAAGAGTTACAAAGGTAGGTCGGAAGTTATTCTATACTTCTTTTTGCATGCTTTTACACATAGCAACGGCTTATCCAACACGTGCACGATACTAAGATGCACACTGTAAAAGCGTTACATAACAAACGTATGTACGATCATGCTATAGCAATCAAGGGTATATCGAATGTTGAAATTTTTTATTAGAAATATCATTTAAGATATTGCAATATTAGGTGCGATATGGTATACAGTCTTTTTGAATAATCTAAAAATGTTAAATGCCTTCTCTCTTTTTTTTTTTTTTTTTTTTTTTCATAACTAAATTCGATACACATTACAAAATATCTACAGGAATGTTCATGAAACAAATCATTACGATTCGAATGTATATGGAAATTTAGATTACTAAAGATTTTGTTTACTGTATCGTCAATGAAAATATAAAATAAAATTTAATCGCTACCGTGATTAAAACTATCATCGATGATTGGAATAATATAAAACATTGAATTTTTATAAACTGGAGCGTTTGAAACATGTTAAGAAAGCTTTACTGATAACGCACGGATATTATCAATGTTCCTCTTGGTATCAAAGTAACGAGCGGTAGTGGTAGTGGTAACGGTAGTAAAAGTTCTAGAAGGGTTCCATCCATACTCACGAAACGTGAACGCGTTGATTTTGAAATATACTATAGTCAATCTGGAGAAAGGTAGGGAGGTCCAGCGCGCAGTTACTCGTAAAAGGTTGTCTCTCACTCTCACTCAGTTATTATCGAACGCTCGCCGGTAAACGACTTCGACTAGGATTTTGCTACAATTCAGAATGGTGCGCGACACGAACATGGAAAAACTCCAAGATGTTGCGAACAGGCTTCGCATTCATTCTATCCAGGCTACCGAGGCATCGAAAAGCGGGTATGAGGCTAAAAAGAATGTTCACATCTTTTTATCGGGATCGGAACGAAATTTTTTCGCATTACTTTCATTTGAGAAGCACACCACCACCAGATATATGTAGATTGTTACTTAATGACACGTTGATATTTTTACTTTGTACATGCGAGGTTTTTCTTTTATGGGTTCCGTAATTATTGAAGAATTTAATAGAAAACACTATTATGTATTATATCGTACTATTGTATTGTTAGCAATAAAGATTTTGCACTAATTTAATTTTTTGCATAAAAATCGTACAATCGTAAAATAAAAAGAATTAATTTATGCGTATTTTAATGTTCTATTTTATTTTGAAATTTCCATTAGATCGCAAAATCAACGACTATTAATCGATATTTGAAATATTTACGAAAATTCGTTTATTCGAATGTGTGGTAATGTATGCAATCAGCAGATACATCATTTGAATTAAACCTAGCTATTCATTAATATGCGAATGGTACTAGAAATAAATGCAAATGAAAATATTCAAAAGAGGGTACATTTGAGGGTACAGATTTAAGATTTGTGTATTAATAAAATGGGTTCCTTTAGCGTATTTATTTTAGTATACAAAAAATGATCACTGCTTTTATTTCGTATAGATCATGTTACATAACTATGATAATATTGCTTCCTATATTTAACGGTCGTATGATAAAGGGTAATGACCTTGTGACCTCTACAGATAATAGTTCATTATGATTATGAAACGTATAACAATATACATCGCTTACAGTCTTATACAAATTTTATATTTCCACCTTAATGTTATGAATTTTTAAAAAAATGCACATGTAAATATATATATATTTTTTTTTAACCCAGACATCCAACGTCATGTTCTTCTATGGCAGAAATTATGTCCGTCTTATTCTTCCATACGATGCGCTACAAGGTATCGGCTCCACGTGACCCAAGTAGCGATAGATTTATACTGAGCAAAGGTCACGCGGCACCTATTCTTTATGCAGGTAAATCCTTTGAATTCTCTAAACGATTACATCGCGAAACATTCTAAAAATTCCGAAATGTATACATCATATTTGAATATTTACAGCATGGGCTGAGGCTGGTCTTTTCCCAGCAAGTGAATTGGTCAATTTGAGAAAGATTGATAGCGACTTAGAAGGACATCCTACTCCAAGACTGAACTTTGTAGATGTGGGAACTGGTTCTTTGGGACAAGGTCTATCGGTTGCCGCCGGTATGGCTTATGTAGGAAAGAATTTTGATAAAGCAAATTATCGGTAGGTTAACGTTCGAATAATCGTACTCTGTTATTTCTTTGATATTGTTTTATACAAAGAAATAATGTATTTGTAGTGTATATTGCCTAATTGGTGATGGAGAAGCAGCAGAAGGTTCAATCTGGGAAGCACTTCACTTTTCATCTTACTATAAGTTAGACAATCTTTGTGCAATTTTTGATATTAATCGTCTGGGTCAAAGTGAACCAACATCTCTTCAGCACAATATGGAAGTTTACCGTAAAAGACTCGAAGCTTTCGGCTTTAATGCTTTGGTTGTTGATGGTCATGATGTGGAAGAATTAGCCAAAGTATGTGTGAATGTGTATGACTAACAGTTAACTTTATATATGTGCAACAAATTTGTCATAAAATTTTATTTAAGGCCTTCCATGAAGCTCAAAATACAAAGGGACGTCCTTCTGCCATTTTAGCAAAGACATTTAAGGGTAAATATTTCCCTAACATTGAAGATTTAGAAAATTGGCATGGAAAGCCATTGGGCAACAAAGCAAATGAAGTGATCCAAGTAAGGGCTGAAATTTGTATACTGTAAAAATAATTAGTCATATTTTAGAGACTAATAACTAATTTAATTGTAGCACTTAACTGGAATGATGAAAAATTCTGGTCCTCTGGCATTGCGTCCGCAAAAACCACTGGTTGATGATGCTCCAGTAGTAGACATCAATAACGTTAAATTAGCATCTCCTCCGAATTACAAACTGGGAGAACAGGTTGCTACAAGATTGGCTTATGGTACTGCTTTAGCCAAGGTTTGTGCTTTTTCTTTTTGGATAAATAGGCAAAGATTTATTTACTTACTTGCATAATTTTGTTCCGTTTTTTGGTTTAGCTAGCAAAAAGCAACCCACGTGTCGTTGCTCTAGACGGGGACACGAAAAATTCTACGTATGCCGAAAAAATCAAGACCGTTGATCCGGCTAGGTTTATCGAAGGTTTTATTGCCGAGCAAAACGTTGTAGGAGTTGCAATCGGCGCGGCATGCAGAGATAGAACTGTTGCATTTGTATCTGCATTTGCTACTTTCTTCACTCGTGCCTTTGATCAGGTAAAATTGAAAGATATCGGTAGAAGGATAAAAACATTTAAATTTAAATTCTACTGAAGAAACATTATTTTAAATTTTATTCGTGTTTTTAATTGTGCAGATTCGTATGGGTGCTATTTCGCAAACAAACGTTAATTTTGTTGGTTCTCATTGCGGTGTTTCAATCGGAGAAGATGGTCCGTCTCAGATGGGTCTGGAAGATGTAGCTATGTTCCGCACAATTCCTGGTTCCACTGTTTTTTACCCAAGCGATGCTGTTTCAACGGAACGTGCCATTGAATTAGCAGCTAATACAAAGGGTGTCTGTTTTGTACGTACCTCTCGTCCTGCCACAGCAATTATATACAAAAACGAAGAGCCTTTTGCCGTTGGCAAGGGCAAAGTGGTTAGATCTTCTGCGAAAGACCAAGTTCTTCTGGTTGGAGCTGGTGTCACTTTGTACGAAGCACTCAAGGCTGCTGACGAATTGTCTAAAGTTGGAGTAAACGTGCGAGTGATCGATCCGTTTACGATTAAACCACTTGATGCTCAGTTGGTTGTAAAGAACGCCAAAGAAGTTGGAGGAAGAGTCGTTACCGTTGAAGATCATTACGCAGAAGGCGGTTTGGGAGACGCAGTTCTTTCGGCACTTGCTTTGGAAAGAAATGTCGTCGTTAAAAAGCTAGCTGTTCCTGAAGTTCCACGTTCTGGTCCTCCGAATGCGTTGTTGGAGAAATATGGAATTAGTGCGAATAAGATCGTTGTTGCAGTTCAAGAAATTCTGAAGTTGTAATCATAAGTATTACATTAATTTATCGGTATCGTTTTGAGAAGAAACAATTACACGCAGGACTGTCAGTACTGCCATATCGAAATATATACAAGAGAACTCTGTATCTTTAAAACATAAGTACAAGTAAAATCAGCGCATTCCACGTTGTTTCTATGCATTTGGTGTGCGCATAAATATTACACATTTGATTCAGGTTAATGTTCAAAGGATAATGGATGTTTGCGGGAACAATTGTTCTTCTTTATACATGTATATACAGATTTTAAACACGAGAATATTATAAATCTCAAAACTGTATTAAATTTTTGTACGTGAAAATGTAATTTTATATAAAAATTTGATACACGTACTGTTTATAGATTAAGAAATATTACGATACGATCGTTCAAGTAAAAATAGATACACTCGCAAAAGAAGTTCTGGGTTTCACTTTATACCTACCTCAAACGCACAATCTTTCGATGTGAAATATTGTATGGCAATATAATTCCTCTATCCGTGGTATTTAACCGTCGGATTTCAAGCAGTTGGATTTCTGCCATCGAAGAAAACAATTTGAAAAGTTGTGTGCATAATCCATGCGCTGTCCATCTCAAATATCTTTGTTATTTCAAGTAATAAGGGTTGCAAGAAAGATATAACATGGTAGCAAGATGTTCTTTACAGGTGCAGGTATGGAGGAGATCTGGAGGTCAATTTTGTTTTCTCAAATGGAATGTCAAATTTTTTATAGTCAAATTAGATAGAATAGCGAATTTTGAGTATAAAGGTACATATATACTAAGGCATTCTAAAACTCATCTTTCCTGAAACATTCGGCTTTGTCTACCCTATTACATTCATTATGGAATATGTTCGAAGTTTCAACCATGTGCATCAATACAATGTTATCGTCTTGAAGCTGTTCCAGCACACGCTGCAGTAATCCGTTGTATAATATTTTGCAGTGTAGTTAATGTTTCTCAGGGCACAATATTTTTCATAATGAAAGTAACAGGATGGAGAAAGTTGAATATGTGAAAAATGGTGAGGTTTAGGATAAATGTACTTTTATACTTCGAATTCGCTATTCTATCTGATTCGACCAATAAAGATTGAACATTCTATTAAAAAAAACAAAATTGACCTCCAGATCTCTTGTACGCCTCCACCTGTAAAGAAATAGTTGCTACCATGTTATGTCTTTGTTGCAACGATACAACTTTTGTAAGTAACGTTTTCGTTAATTACTTAAAGTAATGGAGACATTTGAGGTGGACAGAGTTGGTGGGATAGCTCGTATAGTGGAAGGAAGTTGAAATTTGGAAGAAGTAAAATAGTGAAAATTCAAAGCTAGAGAAATCCCTAGATCACGAAGCAGTTACAGCAAGAATCGAGTAGCGATTGGTCGAGAAATTTCATAAAGGCTGCAGGGAGAGGCGAATAAAGAGAAAGATAGGAAAGGAGAAGAGACAGCAGCGCCACAATTCCCTGTTAAACAAGAAACGTCAACCATTCCCCGTTCTTCGGTCCGATGTCTGGTTTGCTGTTCGCTATCCAAATATCCAGGCTGGCACGGTCAACTTTGTATATGTATGAGTGTGCGCGCAAGTGTCTCTCTCGCTCTCAATTCTGGTTGTGTAGGCGGTCGTAGTAGCGGCCATTACGTGTACATACGTGACGGTGGCACATGCATGCATGTATGCGTGGTATACACGCGTGTACGTGCGTTTTCCGTTCCGCGATTCGCGTTCGCGTATCCCGAAAAGATGGCCGCCATGAAAGCGTACGGTGGTGATGTTGACGTCGTTCGTAGGAAGGCCGCGTCACGTCCTCGAAAAGCGTGAAAAGAACGTGATCATTCGAATGCTTCCACGGCTTTCGTGGTGCGCTCGTACGAGAACACGATACACCGAGGAAGTTGTTGATAATACGAAACGCGAGTGCGGTATTTGCAGGATCCCTCTCGCAGTGCTCGACGAAAACGACGAACGGGAGAGAGGAGAAAGAAGAGAGGGAGAACGAGCGAGGAACGTGCCCAACAAGGGGTTGAAGGGAATCGTATGTGACAGAGAGAGGAGTGGACGAATAGTCTGTCGAAGAGCGGAGGTAAGAAGAAAGGAAAGAAGAAAAGGTGGAGAGCGCGTGGAGAATACAACAGGGTGATACGGAAGTGAGTGGTACGTAGAATCGCGGGTGGTGTGTGGTGCCGCGAGTGAAACAAATGCGTGCGCGTCATACGCGAACAAGCCTCTCTCTTGCCAACGATATCCCGATCAACCTGTTTTTCGCATTTTCTTGGGGTTGCGTTTCACGCGTGACTCGAAACTTTGTGTCAACGAGGGACGGCCATATTAATCCGTAGCCCCCGCCGTCACACATATTCGAAGAATCTCACCTCCTCGAGGTGGTGCCTCTAGTTTTACGATCTTCGTTACTTTTTTAGTGCGTATCCTGTGTTGCGTCGCATCCTGTCTTCTGGTGTCGTGTTGTGTCGTGTCGTATCGTGTCGTATCGTATCGTGTCGTGTCGTGTCGTGTGTGTCGTGTCTTGCTATACCGTACCGTGCCGTACGTATCGTGTCGTGATTCCTCGACCACTTGGATATACGCATAAGGTAGCCTCCAGATTTCGCCGGATGACGGTGCGTGTACGTGGTGCGTGGATGGTGGTACTTGTGTGTACGAGCAATAGAGACGGCGGTTACTACGTGAGTTCTGTGCCGCCCGATGTTCATGTATCGCACCGAAACAACTTACCGGTTCTCCACCACCGTGTCTACCCACTTTGCCAGCAGTACCACCCTTCCTAGATTCTGTACTACCCGCAGAGTAAGTACATCCAGTGCATTTTCCTACATTTCTTACACTTCCACTATTGCTATATTTATTTACACCTTGAATGGAATATAACGAAAATATGCTTTGATTTTAATCCAAGTACACTTGAAAAAACATGTCACAATAGTAATAGTTATTTTGTTTCGCAGCCTTTGTTGCATTTAATATTTCAAGTATCGCTACGTATACTTTACATCAGTATTTGATAAGGTTCTTTGTCTTGAAATTTATGTTCAAAAGATGCAGGTTAGTAATACGTGTTTTGTCCAACGATCAAGCGATAACTTGTCCCTTGAAAGAGTATTCCAATAGAATAACAGAATCCTAACTGCTTTTGCAGTACTTACTTGTTATTCGATAAGTGTTATTCTTTCGTCGAATGTAAACAGTACAGGCACAAATGGTAACATATTTGGCTAAATAAAGTAAAGCAATGTTCAGATCACATTTGAAACCTACCGATTAGATTTCTTATAGTAATCAAACACAATTATGTTAAGGTTAGTCTAATGTTTTATTCATTTCATCAACCATACTCAACGATGCATAATAAACCACTTTATCAACTGTTGATAATATATCAAGTGTTTTTCAAATTAGTGAAACAGTAGGATAGATCAACAACATAACCTCATTTTGAGGTAGCAAATCAAAGTATATACATCTCAAGTGAATGTTGATATCTAATAATAGCCAATTATAGTTATCTCAGTGATAGTGCTTAAATATAGATACAAATATTTTTGTATTACAATTATTTAATTTTCTACTTTCTACGAACAGAGAAAACTTGCTGAAACACTAAAAAGCTGAAGTTGCTTAATAGCTCGAGGTTATGGGAATATGTAAAGTTACATGCAGGTATGTAAATGTATACAAATAAAGGACACAAAGAAAGAGGTTAGATCTATAGAAAAACCGTTAAAGAAAAAAATTGCGAATTACTTTTCCTTTCTCGGTGTTTTTACAAATAAGGGTTAGGTGAACGAAAAAAATATCGGTAGAGAGAAGGATATCAATTGATCGCATTTGAAATTTTTAGGGTGAAAAGACGATTTCGCGGCGATTAATCATTTCTCTTGTAGCAGCACGGCCTATTTAATAGCGTGTTCCAGTGGCCTGTCGCTCGGCCTTTTTATACCGGTTTCAAAGGCGGTCGAGTGTACTTGGTATTTCGTAGCAGTGTGTCGTTACGATGCTACCGTGCGAGATTTTTGCCACTATTGCCAACGCTACCTAACTTTTTGCCCCCTCCCCCTCTGCCCTCACCGCGTGTAATGGATACCGTCGCCTCGTAGCGTCCCATAATATGTCCCATTTTTGGTACGGTATTTTTTTTTTTTTTTTTTTTTTTATCGTTCGCGTCGTTTACGACCGAATTTTTGGCACATTCAGCATCGTTGAGGTCTCGGTGAGATTTCAAGTTTTACACTTAGAAATTATTCTCGATTAAAGGAGCTCGTGTAAACGTCACTCGAGGCAGCGAGATAGGAGGAAAGTAAATGGTCGTTTTTGAAATACCCGTACGAGTGCACGATAGAAGGGATTATTACGGCATTTAAACTCAGACTACAAATGTAACTCGTAGTTCGCCTAGACGAGGAAATAAAGGGAGTGCCCCGAGTAGAAGAAGAAGAAGAAGAAGAAGAAGAAGAAGAAGAAGAAGAAGAAGAAGAAGAAGAAACTTTCCCTAGCTCGGATGGTATTGGATTTACCGAGTGCAGAAAGGGGCAAGAAATAGCGAGAGCATTTGAAATTTATCTTAGAACTAATTGGAGCGTTCTTTCGCGAGCCACGTTTCATATTTTTCTCTGGAATCGACCGATTAAATTCCCGATCCGGATCGGGGATCAGTTTTTCTCGTTTCAGCTCGGCTAAATAAGCGGATAAGCGAATTAATGTTTTAAAGGGAGTCGGTTACCGCTGGATCCGGCAGCTCCAAGTAGCGGTTCGTGCGCGCGTGTAATTTACACGCTTTTGATCTAGCAACGCAGGGCCGTTCGTTGTTTCGAAGTTTCATCGATTTAAGTAGTTATACCGGCATTTATTTTCGTTTCTCGTTTCACTGGTTCGTTGCACCTTAATAGTTCTTCCAACAATGGCGCGCGTAATTTATCGTAAAAATGAACAGCCCTTTACACTCTGTCAGAATTCGTCAGAGATTAAGGTGAGAACGAGGTGAACGCGTTACGTTCAGTGTCTGGCAAACAGGCGCACAGTCGTGAATTCGTAATTAACCCTGCACAATCTTTTTCGTCGTTTACTAAACACGACAAGCGTTGTGACAGTGGTATAATATCGAACGAATCCGAGTTGATCTCGGTTGCTTTCTACATTATCTTATCTTAATATTTTAATCTTCTTGGTTGCGATAATGGACAAGTGCCGTTGTAATCATGTAATACGAGCAATGTTTAATTCTTGGAGCATCGTTTGCGTTTCGACGAAAGCAATCCACTACAATGGTCGATGATTAACGCGTTTATCGTATTATAGGTTAATTCGTTTCGAGCTCGAATC